TTGCTTTGGAACACTGAGACCCAGGGGCCTCTTGGGTGGGGCTGATGAGAAATCAAGGCTGTCTGCTCTACCCTGAGACTCCACCCCATCCAAGCTGAGCACAGAAGTTGCCACAGCAGAAACACTGCTGATCCTCACAGCCAACTGGCCTGGAGATTAACTCCCCCCAGTGATGCCAACAGCAGTCAAGCTTAACTACAACAAGACTGCACACACAGCCCACAAAAAGGTGCACCAAAAGTGTCCACCTCAGGTAACTGGAGAGACTGAGCTACTGGACCCTGCTAGGACAACTAGCACACAAAGCCATTCCATCAACTCAGGGAAGCAGCTAAAATGCAGAGACATAGAGACAGGCCACAAATGAAGAAAATGGAGGAAAGTAAAACACTGGATATAGAGTTCAAAACCGTGGTTATAATGTTTTTCAAGAATTTCCTGGAATAGGCCAATAAATTTAACAAGACTCTCAAGATATGAAAAGGGAGCAACTAGATATTAATCATGCACTGACTGAAATAAAAAAGTTATACAGAGACCTAAAAGCAGACTAGAGGATCACAAGAATCAAGTAAAAGATTTGGGATACCAAGAAGCAAAAAACACTCAAACCAAAAGTCAAAAAGAAAAAAGAATCCAAAAAGTTGAAGATAGTGTAAGAAACCTCTGGGACAACTTCAAGCGTACCAACATCAGAATTAAGGGGGTACCAGAAGAAGAGAGCAAAATACTGAAAACCTATTTGAAGAAATAGTGACAGAAAACTTCCCTTACCTGGTGAAAGAAATAAACTTTCAAGTCCAGGAAGCACACAGAACCCTAAACAAAAGGAGTCCAAAGAGGACCACACCAAAATACATCATAATTCTCTCTTTGTCTTTATGCCAAGGTCTAAAGACAAAGAGAGAATATTAAAAGTAGCAAGAGAAAAACAGCTACCTACAAGGGAGCACCCATACGATTATAAGCTGATTTCTCAACAGAAACTATGCAGGCCAGAAGGGAGTGGCAAGAAATATTTAAAGTGATGAATAGCTAGAACCTACAACCAAGAATACTCTACCCACCAAAGCTATCATTCAGAATTGAAGGTCAGATAAAGAGCTTTACAGACAAGAAAAAGCTAAAGGAATTCATCACCACCAAACCAGTATTATATGAAATGCTAAAAAATATTTTTTAAGAAGAGGAAGAAGAAGAAAAAGATAAAGATAAAAATTATGAACAACAAATTTGTATCTATCAACAACTGAATTTAAAAACCAAGGGAATAAAAAATCCGATGAACAGTATTAATTGGTGAACATAATAGAATCAGGGGCATAAAAAGAGAGTGGACTGACAATTCTGGGGGGGGGAAAGGGGAGTGGGGGTGCAGGAAGAGACTGAACAAAAAGAGTACACCCATGGATGAGGATAGTGTGTGTGTGTGTGTGTGGGGGGTGTGTGTGTGTGTAAGGGCAGAGGGTGGGGTAGGAACCTGGTGGAGGGGAGATATGGGGGGGGGGGGAGAGGAACAATTGTAATAATACGAACAATAAAGATTTATTAAAATAAATAAATAAATAAATAAATAAATAAATAAATGAATAAATAAATGTTTAAATAAAATAAAATCATGCCACCCAAATGGGGAGTTTCTGAGGGGAAAAAAATCCTAGATGGTCACTTCAAATAAAGGATACTTAGAATATTCAAAAACAAGCATTTGAGCAAAAAAAAAAAAATATTTGCCTACAAAATTTTCTTTCTTTCACTCTCTGCCAGGAGGGTTGCATAAGCCTCTCTTTAGTACATTACCACCCAAAGTCCTCAGTAAAAGGAATACACACAAATAATAAAAAGACAAAGGCTCCATGTGGAAACTCAACTGTATTTATTTTTCTTTTACAGAATCAGAGAAGTAAAAACCAGTACCAAAGTCCAGGTAAAATGGTTTGATCTGCCTGATTTGGCTGCATACTCTCTGTACACATAGCATTCTAAATTAAAAATAAACACATTATAAAATGTAGAAGTAAATTTTGTAAAAAGGTAAAGTACTAGCACAGAAATGATGTAGTGTGTTAGGGAAATGATCTGTCAATGGTCCATTTTCCCAGTTAAACTAATCTACAATTTATTTTATTTCATAGAAGTTGTACTTTCAGAAGTTACTTCCTAATTATATCATGAGACAACAACTCGTAATTAGCAACACTCCTATCACACAGATCACCTTCTTCTACTGAGAGCTTCTCTGCCACCCTGGGAACAGCCCATCGGCATACTGTGTTTTTTTCCCGTTTTACGTGCTCCTGGTACACTGTGTAATCAGTGAAAGATGGCATTTTCACATCCTAAATACTAAGGTGAAACACTAAGAATTACTTAGATTGAATAGAGTTGCAAATAGGTTTTAACAATGTATTTACTTCAAAAAAATGTGTTTAATTGGGGGGGAAGGGGTATCTAAAAAGAAGGATATATGAAATTATTTTCCTATTTCAATTTTAATATGCCTTTTCTATGGCAAAACTGAATGAAATGTTGAAGTTGATTGATGTAGAACTAAAAAGACTAGATATTCTGCTGTTGTTTTCTAATAAGAAAAACAGTATAAATAGCACCTTATCATGATCCTGCAGGGTTTTTAACACTCACAATAATAGGAAGTAGCCTTTAAAAAGCTATTCTTACATAGATTTTTAGTTTTAGTGTTCTTTAACAAAGGCCATATTTTATGGCCTTAATAACAAACACAAAAAATTATATCTGGCTTTATCTATTAGTAAGCACATAGTCAGAATCCAATTTAATTCTGAAAAAATATTTGTTATGTTTATTAACAAAATGTTTTAACTAATTTCACTTAAAAAATTCTAGTGTTTTCTAATGCCACAAGCTTATTAGGAAATTATTTCTAAAAATTGATATTACAAATCATTGATATTTTAACTACTTTAGGGAAAAAAGAGGGGTATCTGTTTCTTTTAATAACCTGAAAATGAATCTATAAAAATATTTTTTAAAAATACAGTAACACTGCTCAGTTTTGTTAGGTCCCGTGTTTGTTTTTTTCTTAGAATATACAACTCTTTTTGCAATTATTGCTAACCCAAGAGAAAAAGGAATAGTGCTTCCTACAATTTAGTAGCAACATAAACATCACCCCCATCTCTCGTGGAGCACTTGGAGAGAGAATAAAAGGAACTTAAACCACGGGTCCTTCAGGAAAAAGAAATCACTGTGTTGTGTAGGAAGCACAGCAGGCTCATGCCCTGTCCACCTGCTGCTCAGCATCAGCACGGTCAGGGCTCCATCCCTGCCCCTCCCCCGCCACCTAAAGTGCACTAAAGCCTTCTATTCTTCTACAACAGTCTTTGGGTATAAAGGCTGTACTTGAAAATTGTTGTTTTGTTTTGGGAGTGCACTGCTCATACCTTCTGCCTGTCTTGCTTTTGGGGTACTCTAGTTTGTTTTTCATTTCACAACTGGTATCCTTTCCACTATTCCATAACTTTACTACTTCATCTCTGACCTTTTCACGTGCTTTCTCTCCAACAAGATAAAAGATACTCTGCCCATCTATATTCTGATAGATTGAAAGGATCTCAATTAAGATCCCAAATGAATAAGTCCCCTTGGGAATTGAAAGATTCCTCCCAGAGACCTCAATTACTGTCTTTTTAAAAAGATATTAAATTCATATACATATTATAAATAACGTCAGTTGAAAATACTAAACAGAGGACTTCATTGGCAGACAGAGTGCATGCCAGGTGAACCTGATGCACTCTCTCAGTCCTTAAAAGCTAATAAAAAAATTTTTTTTGGTTACATAAGAGGTACTGAGTACATATTTCATGCCTTTTTATACTAACTATAGCAAAAGGATTAAGATAATATACTTAGGAATCACTTTTACTGAATTTAGAAGCATATGCCTCCACCACACACCATCTAGAGGGCATATTTTAAAATGTCAGTCAAAGATCTGCTTCATCCTTCAAACAGTTTCATAGATAACACTATTTTAAAACTTGAAATCTTAAAAGCAAAACTGACAAGGCTTTAGAATTTAAAAAGCAATAGCTTGCTGTGTGTGCCATTGGACTGAAAGCTATGTGTCCTGATGTTTTCAGAACAATTTCAAAAGACAAAAATACAGTTGCCACTGATTCATCAAAAATATTTGCCTGCCCTTTGTCATCAGCTACAAAATATAGTGCTTCATAAAATAAACATCAATTTCTAAGCAGCAATATTTTAAAAATATAACTTGTAATTTTAAATGTTTTGTTTAACAAATGGTCATAATTAGTAGCAAACGGGTATCATTCATAAGATCCGCAGTGTAGGGACTATGGCATGCTGCTACTGCTCTCCCGCTGGAAGGACTAGCTATGCACATACTATGCCCAAAATGATGGAGCATAAACTACAAGAAGACCATGTGTGACTCTGTAAATACAGAGTAAAAAGAGTCATCAGAACCAGCATGGATTCAGCATTACATGGCATTCCATACAGCAAAATTTTACTATCCATATGATGATTTTTAAGGTTCAGGTAAATATTTAAAGGATTTAGTACTATTGTCATCAATAGTTTTAAAACAGTAAATCAGGTCTCATTTGGGATACATTTCCTGGACCGAGCCACCTGTCAGAAATCACTGCCTGTGTCATCTTTTTATGGTTTATAATCAATTGATGAAAAATTTCAACACCCATAAAGCTTAGTCATGGGGCTACAGAGAAAAACAGGTATGCAATTCTGCATAACCCAACACAGGAATGCAGGCTTGCAGAAAATAAAAATAGAATATTTATTTATGTTTAACTTAGTTTACTGTCAATCAAATTCAGGCAATGATTAAACTGGCCACATGGAAAGGAGGGAACATGAGTCATGGGGGCAGAAAGCGGTTCACCTGCAGACTTGCTCTGCTCCATCACTTTTCCCAAGAGGCCCAGGAAATGTCAGGTCATGGCTGCACCCAGGTTACCATGTACTGACTACAGCCAGGTCAGAAAGGGCTCGCTTTTGTTCAGAGCAGACTCTACATCATTGAAGAGGGGGATAAGATCTTCAGATTCCAGAGTTCCGAGGTCCACATTGGTTCCTGGGAGACAGTCCAGAAAATCAGGGAAACGGGTCTGCTGAGGATTGATGTTCATGGGTGTCTGCCCTGCGTTTTCCCCTGCAACAGAATGAGAAGGAAACATTTTCACTCCTTTTTCAGGTTCTTGAAAGAGGGTCAATTCAAATGTGAACATAACTCTTGTCTTCACCTGTACTATGTCTACGCGGAAACAGATTACGTTGCTATGGGTATAAAATATTTCATCTCTGGGCAAAATTTCAGCTACCACACTGACTCTGAGCTGGTGATGCTAGTCCCTGGGACATGCAGAGGTGCCAGGGGAATCCGCAACTGTCCTGGGTCGATATGGGCCAGAGGAACAAGTCCTGGGAGAGGGTAGGCACAGGTGAAGGCCCTGGGGGTCTGACCTATGACCTGTGTCTTCCCCTGAGACAGTAGCATGAAGAGCTGTTTTGTAAAAGAGTGGAGAGGCCCTGCCTGTAAGAAATGCCTTATTTCAGGGCGATAATTTCAGGATTTAATTGTAAGCTTATATGTACCCATAGCCTCCCTCTTATGTTCAAAGATAATAGTGAGGAGTTCCTTTTAATGGTGTTATTAAAAGGCTGTCTTCATTGAAGGCATAGGGATCAATGTCAAAGCATTTTATAAAGTGGGTTCTGCAGACCATGCCCCTCCCTCCACTCCACCCCCCACACCATCTGCTTTTCTCACAATGCAGGAGGGTCACAATGCCTGTGAGCTCAGGAAGGTTCTGAGATGTCTTGCAGTGAAGAAATCTGCTTTATTTTGTTTCAGCCACTGTTACCTAAGCTCATGTAATCGCCTAACCCAATTTTGGCAGAACTTATATCCTGATAGAACTAGAGTTTACAGAGACATGACTCTCATCTTCACCTGCGCTATGCCTACACAGAAACAGATTATGTTGAGAAAATACTGTTCTACAATAAAATTAAGTGACTGGGGCTTGACATGAGGAATTCATGTTCTTTATGAATAATAGTGTAAGAGAAAATGTACTGACCTTGTGTCCATAGACTGACCCTTTTAACTGTGTGGCCCTAGACATACATAACATGTTGTGTATGAGATGTCTGGTCCTGTTTACCCATATGAAGTTGGTATTATAGCGTCATCTTCACAAAATGAGTAAAGCACCCATGGCTCTGGGTACTATTCACACAAACTTATATACATACAAAAATACAATGAATACAAAAATACAATGAATACAAAAATACAATAAAAGTTTGTCGATTGTGCTTAAAGAAAGAAAAACCTTAGAACTCAATCACCATTAAATACAGAATATTAGAACAACTAGTTAATGTAAATAGCCCCAAAGAGTTTTCTGAAGGAAGATAATATGCCTCAAAATTGAGAAACACTGATGACTGAGGCCACTCCCACCACAGCGTCTTTTTCACGAAACTCGTTACATTAGCTTTTGTGTCATAAAGTGCAGTAGCCACTGCAAAGAAATTCACTATTCTGACTAAAACTGCAGAAAATTCATTTTAAGCATATGAATTAAATGTTTTCCAAGGAGAAAAAATATATCCTTCCTAGTAATGAGGGAAACATAATTCAACTTTATTTGGGTGGTAGCAAAGCTTCATGTCTTTTCTCATAAAATATCAATGCTTCTTGGCAATATTTTATAGGATTTTCATTGCAAAATTCAATGAAAAATTAAATCAAGTTCAACCACATATTGAAAAACATCAAAATAGAAAAGAAAATCCAAAATAACTTTTCAGCCACTACAATATAACAGATTGGAAGTGAGGTCCAAAAAAGTTACCTGCCTTGAAGAATGATCTAAGTTGCTAACCTTATTTTTTTTTTAATCGCCAATTAGAATCATTTATCCCTATTGATTTCCCATTTTAATACTTTCTAATAACTGGAGAATACATTGTTTTAGCCAACTAAAAGCTCTCTGTTTTAAATAATTCCTCTTTATCCTTTCTCCTCAGACATGAAAGGCATGAGGAAACTAGTTAAGGTTCTTTGTTGAGGTTAACAATTTTAAATTATTTAAAAAAAATTTTTTTTTTAATTATTTCTCTTTGGAGCAACTTTGTAATCTCGAATCTTTTTGGATTTTGCAGTTTTATCCATTTAAAAAGTGGAAGAGACAAAAAGCAGGCAGTTCTTAAAAGGGTGTGATTATTTCAATAAGTTACTTCCCAGGCTTTGCTCTATACGCTCAGCTGTGGTTTTGTGTGCCTTTCTCAAGGAGACTACTCAGCTGGCTCACTCCCATTCCGCATATGGTCAGTGGATCTAACCGACCTGTCTAGATACACTGGAGCTCCACACACCTTCAGCCTCCCCTTATCTTGTTATGGGTAATTATATTCCTCCCCTGAGAGGGCTTACCCCCATTTCATATAAAGCCTTCAGAGAAGTGCTTCGCAAGTCAGTGGGCTGACAGTCACCTAACCAGTGTACCCTGGAGCCTTGCCATTTATCAAGTTCCTTTGGAACCTTACCTCAGCCTTCTTAGAAGGAGGCCAAGCTCTATGGTCTCATGATTCCTCACAGCTCTAAGAAGCGAGCACAGGGGTCCTACTTTACAGGTGAGGAATCTGAGGTGCGGGGAGGTGACAGCACTCACCCAAAGTCACTGGCAGGAAGTGGGAAGCAAGAACTCAACTTCAGTTGCCTGTCTGCAAAGACTGCTTTTTTTCAGGATACCACTTAATTCCACATTCTTAATTTTAAAAAGCCATAGAATAGACTTCATCTATTTTAAAAAGCTATAGAGTAGAATTCAACTTTTTTTTTTTTTAATGTCAAGCTTAGATTTAGGTCTCCTTAGTCTTTTCTTATTTAACTTTGCCTTTATCTTTACTGGCTTCCCAGTGTTTAAAAGATGAAGCAAACAATTATTAAACACTAGAGGCCCGATGCATGAAAATTTGTGCAAGAGTAGGCCTTCCCTCTCCTAGCTGCCAGCACTCTTTCCTCCAGCACCAGGGACCTGGGCTTCCCTCCTCTGGCCACTGGCAGGCACCTGGGACCTGGGCTGCCTCCTCTGCTGCTGCAGGCACCCGGGACCCAGGCTGGCTTCCCTCCAGCCCTGGCTCTTTCAAGAAGGACATCCAGAATGACACCCAGAAGACGTCTGGTCTAATAAGTATATTACCCTTTTATTATTATAGATAGGAAGGAGTCACTCCAAAGAGGACAAATAAATCTCACAATGAAAAGGAGAGAAAGATGAAGGAAGAGAGAGAGAGGGGGGTGGAGAGGGAGAGAAAGAGGAAGAGGCTAGGAGGGAGAAAGCTGAAGTAATAAATTAAAATATAACAAAACAAACAGGTCAAACTATTCCTGTGTGACTTCTCACAGTACAGCTACACAACCCTCTAAACATTCACATGACACTTGCTGGAGACCTGGGCATCCTCCCTGCATCCACACTCCTGGCAAATCTGTCTCTTGGCTAACCGATAATTCAGAGTCAGATGGGAAGGGCAGACTTCGACGAGCAGAGTGCAGCAAACACAAGCACTGTGGACAACAGCAGTGGGAAAACCAATTATTTTCACCACAGAACAATTCCTTTTCTATCAGTCATCAGAATAAAGGAGAAACCTGCCTAAAAACTCCAAATAGTGGACACCTCTACATCTTTTATTTTTTATTCTAGATATCTCTTGGAGTTTAGGATTTTGATAGTTAAGTCTAGATTTGGCTAATACGTCCAAATTCAGTTTTTCAAATTGAAGGCCTTACTCCTTGAATAGACAAGGAAAGGGGAGGTAACCAGAAAGCCAGCAGAGCACTGGCCTGCAGGCTGGGGATCAGGGTGAAGTCACCCAACTCTTCGTTTTAATTGTGATTTGGACCTGACAATTTAGAATCCTCTGAGTTGCTTACCTGTCCAAATGCCCACAGCCAACTGCCCTTCAAATGCAATGCTGGTATAACTATAAGCCAGTATTTTCTCAAGAAGAAAGTGGCTTATTTGTTATAACTAAGGAGCAAACACATCACTATTTCACTGGGTAAGAATGACAAGCAGACAGTGTGTCCTGATATGATGGTGAGGAAAGGGCTATGTGTAGCAAGAACAGCAAACGAGAGAGAGAGAGAGAGAGAGAGAGAGAGAGAGAGAGAGAGAGAGAGAGAGAAAATTGAAAATCTTGTGCCATATAAAAAACTATATTTGTATAAACTATTGGGGGGGATAGAATTTATTAATAGTGCTTGGGGCCCAGCTGGCATGGCTCAGTGGTTGAGCATCAACACATGAACCAGGAGATCATGGTTTGATTTCTGGTCAGTGCATCTTTCTAGGATGTGGGCTCCATCCACAGTAGAGGGAGTGCAGGAGACAGCTGATCAATGATTTCTCTTTCATCATTTATGTTTCTATCCCTCTCTCCCTCTCCTTTCCTCTCTCTGATATAAATTTAAAAATGTATTAAAAATATTTTTTTTAAAGTGCTTTGTTGAGATTAAGTGTTTCTGGTTGGATTCCAGAATGGAGATGACTATAAAGATGATTTGAAAATGCAAACTCATTACAAGTACTTGCAGGCTTTGCTCCTACCTATGTCCATCTCATCCACGTTGCTGAGGAAGTCCTCCGGGGTGGTGGGGACACTGTAGCACCCTAGCCCCAGGCCGCTGTCAGTGCTCTGTTCCCTCGAATGATATGGCCCTCTGGAGAGAAAAAGTGGAGGAACGTCAAGGTGAGCCCACTACAGAAATCTCCAACCTAACCTAGTGTAATTCTGTCATTTGGTCCAACTTTCCAAGTAATGAAGAGAGGCATAAATTGTAGCCCCTTTTAATTTTTTTGAAACATACATCCCAATACCCATGAAGTTAATAAATTATAAGCAAATAAAATTGACTGTTCATAGTAAATTGATTTCCTTTTCATCTTAAAACAGTAATTTTTTACTGTTACTCTACATATTCTATATAATAAAAACATTACTCTACATATTCTATATAATAAAAGCCCAATATGCTATGTCTAATCAGCAATTCAACCAATCAAAATATATTATAATATGCTAATGATATGCTAAGGCTGCTCAACTGCTCGCTATGACCTGCACTGACCACTAGGGGGTAGACAGTCAACTGGTTGACCAGTTGCTATGATGTGCACTGACCACCAGAGGGTAGATGCTCTGACCAATAGGTAGTTTGGTGCTGGGGTCCAGTCCATTGGAACTGAGGAAGATGGGCTGGACACTCCCTAGAGCCCTCCTGCGTACCTTCCCGGCCCCAATCCTGTGCTGGTGGGATCCTTTGGCCTGGCCTGCACCCTCTTGCAATCTGGGCTGAGGAACCCCACCCCCCTGAGTATACAATATAATAAAAGGCTAATATGCAAATTGACCAATCACTATGACATGCACTGACCACCAGGGGAGCAGCTCAATGCAGGAGCTGCCCCCTGGTGGCTCCGTTCAGCCAAAAGCTGGGCTCACAGCTAGCAAGCACAGCAGCAATGGCAGGAGTCCTTCTCGCCTTCATGGCAACACTAAGGATGCCTGACTGACAATAGGAAATGGGCCTAAGCCGTCGTTGGACATCCCCCAAGGGCTCCCGGACTGCAAAAGGGCGCAGGCCAGTCTGAGGGACTCTCTCTGAGTACATGGGTTTCGTGCACTGGGCCTCTAGTCAAGTATAATAGCATTTATGTAAATTAAAAAAAATAATAGAAAACAGTGTTGAACGCTGCTTAGGGATGCATACATTATCAGGCAACCAGAAGCATAAAAGCATGTGTGATGAATATGCAGTGGTAGGAATGAGTTTAAATATTAACTGTAATGCTTATTTCAAAAATTAAATCTATAAAAATATGGGAAATCTGGGTTTGGGGTACATGGTGAGTCTGACATTATTCTTTATATTTTTTGAACATTTGAAATACTTTAAAATCAACACTTTAAAAACTTTCTTTCATTATTTTAGCTACTGTTTTTTTCACCTCTTTCTATTTTTTATAACATTCATAATTATATTTGTTTGCCAGTATCTTCTGGAAGGACAGAAAAGGCACAGGAAATAGAATCCTACCCTTTATTTGAGTTTAAGAAACTAAGGTTAACTACTTCTGCTCATGAAGATATTCTTATCTAAATTATTTTTTCCATCTGCTATTATGTTTTCTATTTTAAAACATCATCTCTTTTTTTAAAAATTAATTTTACTGTAAAGTAATTTAAAGTCACATAGAAGATGCAAAAAAAACAGACCCTCATGCACTCTTCCCCTGCCTCCCCAAGGACACTTACGTAACCACAGGACAAGGATCAAAACCAGGAAACTGACATCATATAACACTATTAACTGAACTACAGACCTTACTCACATTTCACCATAAACATAATTTCTTAACTGTTAAGTTCTTCATTTGCCACATGGCAGGCTTCCCCTCGCCCCCTTACTAGCTACATTAAACCACAAGATTTTTCCAAATAATTACTGTGCAACACCATCCCACTGAAATAAGTTCATTCCCATTTTTAAATTATTGACTAGGGTTTCAGTCCATGTCATATCACCAATTTTTAAATTTGAGATTAAAAAAGAAAAGTAGTTAACTTCCTCTGCTTTTATTTTTTCTGCCACTATTTGCTGCCTCTATCCTCACTCTAGCCTCCAAGCTCACCACTGTTTCCCACACAAACAAACACCACCATACTCTAGATCACAAAATAAAGAAAGCAAAAATAAATGGTCCCTGAATATTAACTTACCCATTGAGGAAAGGATCTGAGTTATTATTAGTGATGGATCTCATGTCTGGAGTCATGGCGGGGGGGTTAACAGCAGCCGGAACCGTGGCCAGAGTCTCGGCTTCCATGGGGAGCTGTCTACAGAGGGCAGCTTCCTGCAGAAATATGCCAGTCAGAGGGAGAGACAAGAGTTATTCCCTTAATCTCAGGATCAGAGCAAAGTATACTTCACATGAAAATATTTCACCAAATACAAAGCACTTTACATTAATTGCTAATAAGTCAAAATCATCAGGAAATCAAGTTTTCTTTCTCTGAAGAAAGTCTTACAGGTGAAAGACACTTCCTCACATTCACAAAGTTAATGAGAAGCTCAGCTAATATTTCTTCTCAAGACACTTATGTAGCAATGTCCTATCCTTAACAATTGTTTAAATGCCCAAATCTTAGAAAAGCCTCTCAAGGAACTTACTCAGAGACAAGGCTATTTTTATCTTAGGGATTCAGAACAAATCTCAATCAATCAAAGCCATTGGACTCCTCTGCACTAGCAGGTACATCTGGTCTTTGCCAGGCACTGGCCAGTAAAACTGTGGGATTACTGAGTTCAAACTCTACATTAAATCATAGCTGGCACTTTTAGGTCAGTAGCCAGGAGAGCAAAACAATCAGTTAAAAACTTGTTTGTCAATCAGTTGTTCTATTAGACTAATTATTTTGTCAAGGACTAAAATGGCTGAAGGTTAGGGAAACATGCAGACCTAGTCCAAATCCCTCTGCTGAATGAATTTTTGAGAGCATCTGCATTTTATTAGCAAAAATCAGAATGCTAGCATTATTTTCTAAAAGCTAATGTTATTTTGCCAAGAGAGCCAACCTGAAAGTTATGGATTTGACTGAAATTACTTTACCTAGGTATAACTACCAGGGAGTCTCTCCCATTTTGATAATCATAATCAGACATCAAATTTCTTTCAAATTCCAGAGAATAGTTTTGCTTGTTTATACTTCATCCAAAATCAAGTCTAAGCCCTTTCCATATTTATGCCTATTAGTTGCCCACTTTCCAGGATAACGCCATTGGTCTCACTGCCCCACAACCTCTTCTTTCCCCTCCTCCCCCGCCTCCGATGGCAAAGAGAATATTTAGGCCATGTAAGTTACAGTATCTTTGTTAGATCTGTTCCAGTCTTAATATGCTATGATTTCAGAGAGTAACTGCTGTCTAGACAAGTCTAGTGAAGTCATCGGCTATAAAAATTTTCGGTTACTGGAGTTCACTGCACTGTTACTAGGAGTTACAGTGACATGTTTCTCACATATGGTGAGGCTGAATAATAAGAACTTGCATTGCTAACATACACTGAAATTAATGCCCTGGCTAGGAAGGGCTCCTGGTTCTTTTGCTAATTTAGCTTGCAAATAATCTGAATACTTAATTAACACAAATTTTATTCAATTAATCCATAAAAAGCAAGCAAACAAAAAGAAAGGAGATTTTTTAAAGTTGATTTTAATCCATAATCCAAATCTTGGAAATACCTCTGGATAAATATAGAAAAGTCTGTTGGTCCTTACATGGCAGGCAGTGTGCATCGGAAGTTTATTTCCCAAACAAAGCTTACCCGAAGGCTTCACAGGGGTGACCAACAGTGACTGAACCTGGTGTGAGGAGCCTAGAACCCACTAACCCCTCACACACACTCATACACTAATAAATGTGGGTTTTACCCCCGAACTGATGCCCTTTTATTATTTTTAATGTATTTTTATTGATTTCAGAGAGGAAGGGAGAGGGGGAGAAACATAGAAACATCAATGAAGAGAGAGAATCATTGATTGGTTGCTTCTTGCATGCCCCCTACTGGGGATCAAGCCCGCAATCTGGGCATATGCCCTTGACCGGAATAGAACCAGGGACCCTTCAGTCCACATGCCAATGCTCTATCTATTGAGCCAAACTAGCTAGGTCTATCAATCATGTTTTCAGAATACTATTTGAGTTTGTAATTTTAGGTAGTCTGAATATAAACATAAGAATCATTTTGGGAGTTTCATGGAATAAAAAAATCCATATTAGACACATAAAGCATATGGATTATTTATCATCTCTAATGCTATAATATGAAAATGTTTACATTATGAGGAAAAAAATACCAGGTATAAGCTTTCCTCTTCATTTCAATTACTCCTGGCATATTTCACATAATTATAATATAGAACTTTTTTTTAATGCCTGTGTGTGGCTAAAGCCTAAATAATAAAATCGTAGTGTGCAAATTGTCCCCTCAACCTAAGTTCTTCTGGAAGTTCGACCAGGGGGTAGGCTGGCAAGGGTAGAGAGGACATAGGGGAAGGGAGGCAGCCACTAGGGACCTACCAGTGCACGAATTTCATGCACTGGGCCTCTAGTATGTAAATAAAATTCAAGAAACCTAAGTGACCAAAATGACCAGTCTACCAGTCACTATAATGCATACTGACCACCAGGGGGTCACTGTGCTCCCACAGCCAACCTCCCACGACAAGCCAACCTCCTGCACCCTCCACCCCACCTCGTCCCTTCCCCCAGCCCCAATTGGGACTGGTCAAGGCATCCCCAATTGGCCCTGATCTCCAGCCAGGCATAGGGAACCCACGCATGATTTGTGCACCGGGTCTCTAGTGTATAATAATCAAAGACGAAGAATCTATACTATAATGGGAAAAAAGGTTCACTGTGTCATTTCACATCTATTTCCTCTATTTTAAATTAAAGATAACCAAAGTTCCATTCTTCAGCAGCACTGTTTCTCTACTTGAAAGACTTGACTCTCAGGTCATTATAAGTGCAAGGCTATGTTCTGCATGTAGGGGACTCACAGGATCATTTTCCACCTTCAAATGATTAACAAGTGAGAGAATACAGAAAGGGTGTTACTAACTTTATTTTTATATTCCTCACCTGAAGATATGCTTTTATTGATTTGAGAAAGGGGGGGGGGGAGGAGGAGTGGGGGAAACAGATGTGAAATGACACAGTGAACCTTTTTCCCCATTATAGTATAGATTCTTCGTCTTTGATGCTTTTATTGATTTGAGAAAGGCGGCGTGGGGGGGGAGGGCGGAGAAAGAAATGTCAATGTGAAAGAGAAACATGGATCTATTGCCTCCCCAAACACCCCGCAACTGACTGAACCTGACCAGGAAGCAAACCCGAAACCTTTTGGTGAATGGCAGGACACTCCTACCAACTGAGCTATATGTCCAGGCCACAACTTTGAAATATAAATTAGGCTAGTCTGAGTTGGAAAGTTATTATAAGGGGCAACACTTTCTCCAAGATTATTCCATACTTCAGCCAACCTGAAGATCATGCTGACCCCTACTGGAAACCCATCTACATGTTCTTCACTTATTCACCGAGCAAATATTTATCGAGTACCTTTCAGTATATGGTACAATGCTCCAACTGAGCCACATTGGCCAGCGTTAAATTAGTTTTTAATATAAATGGAGAATGGTGAGAATTTTCATTTCACTTAATTATATTTCATAATATAATAGTTCTGTATTTAGAATTCTAAAAGTATTGCCTTTTTTTTTTTTTTTTTTTTGAATGACAGTATTTTTCTACTTCTGCTATGAATGGAAGGAGAAAAAAAAGCAGCACGAAATCCTAGTTTTTAAATTAAAGGGCTAACCTCACTAACACATCTCCACCCAAACAAGGGAGAATTTAAAAACAAAAAAAACAAAAAACTAGTTTAGGTGTAAAATTCAACCCTAGATTCAATATGCTTCTACCCACAGCCCTGCCTAGGCAGAACCAAGAGGCAAACATTGACCAAGAAGCAGCAGTCAATCAAGACTGTTGGAACTAAAACAGCTGAAGCAAAGATAGAAGATGGGGGCACTGGACTATGTAAATTGATGTGAAAATAGAGAGACAGCTGGCCAAAGCTGGTCTAGGACATGACTTAGGCCTCCAAGTCAGAAAACTGGCAGAACAGTTGCCATTACCAACCCTGTGCTCCATTACCAGCTCCCTCTAGTTGAGGCAGAAGAAATACTAAGCTGGAGGCACATCCAAGCCCCCTGGTCTGTCTCTCATTTCCCACTTCCACTCTACTTCAACAGACCCCTTCCCAGTATCCCCTCCACCCCACCCACCCTGTTCTCCCAAGCAAATCTTCAGTTGCCTAGACTCCTCAGGACTTTGGGTCTCTCTTCATCTAGTCAAATCTCACCCACCCTTAGAGCAGCAGTCACCAACCTTTTAGACCACCGACCACCGACCACTGTCTTAGAGGTTCCAGGATGCTTCCCTGACTACCATAACCACAGCAAGCTACCTTCCCTTTCTCCCAGCCCTGAACTCCTAAACAAACACATCCAGCAGGGGTCTGAAACCTCATGTCTCCCAAAACTTCTCATCAGGCTCCAAAGCAGGGGAGGGTAGTTGGGGGCAATTAGGCCAGCAGGGGAGTAGTTACAGGCAGAAGCAGTTAGGGGCAATCAGGCAGGCAGGAAGGTGAGTGGTTAGCAGCCAGCAGTTCCAGATTATGAGAGGGATGTCCAATTGGAGAGGGTGCAGACTGGACTGAGGGACCTTTCCCCTCCTCCCCGCCCCATGCACAAATTTCATGCACTGGGATGAAATAAGAGCCAGCCCTGGTGAAGTCCATGTCCCTGATATCTCCTTGGTCCAAACCCCGCTTCTATCTCAAGTAGCGGGTCAGCACTGTTCCTCTGGGCATTTCAACCTGCCCACCTTATCAAGCCTGTATCTAGTTCTCTGTTCTGCACTTTGCAGAGGTCCTTACAAAGATTGACCAGAAAGGAAAAATAAGATGGGAGGGGTATAAATAAAATGTCCTATGAAGAAGTAGGATGCTATATAACCAGAGGAACATGCTTTGGCTCTCAAACTATCAAGGAAACATTACATGAGAGCAGGAAAATACCTTCTACCCAAAGTTGAGGCCAATATGATTAGTAAGACTTCATAATTAATAGTCCATTCTGGGGTGGAACTAGCTGTTTTCCATTCTCTGGGTACTGGCCACTGAAATTCTCAAGCAGTTGTGAAAGGCTGTGTTATTAGACATGTCCTGAGCTTGGCACAGGGAAAAAGTGTCCTTACATAAAAAAGATTGGAGTTCAAGTCCCAGCT